AAGAATGATATTTGTTTATAAGATATGTATTTTTCTCAAGATTTTAACTTACAACAATTTCCTATAGGATCCTATAGGAAATCCTATAGGAAAGGTGCCCTATAGGATCCTATAAGATTTCCTATAGGATCCTATAGGAATCCTATAGGATCCTATAGGAAATTTTCGTAAGGGCTCTCCCAAATACGCGCTACAAAATGAAAGTAAATCATGTAGCATTCAATTCATGTACCAGTTCTACAAAGTGGGCCTCCTTGAATAACATAGTTAACTTACTGTTCACAGTTTAACTACTGTTCCGATCACCAACACCTGGAATCACTTACAAACATTCCCTCTGCTCAGTTAAACTGCGACTGCAATAAAAAAAATCCCCCTGATTGATAAATGGGGACATCTTACGACAAACAACATGGCGACAGCCACGTTTCCTCTCAGACCCCTCAGGCCAGGGGCTACATGTAGATGTCATCTCAGGCCAGAAAGTTTTTAATCTAAATTTTCCTAACTGTCCACTGCGAAGAAGTACTTTCACTAGTGCATTTTGATATCACTTTCTAGTAAGTTGAAGCAGACCTAATATAGACCTGGCGTGACAGACATTTAAGTCGTTATTAAAGTTGATAGCATTTAGCTAGAATCTCCACGCTCGGCTGTCGGGGGCGTCTCGATAGTCCGAAGGTTCATTGGTCCGAAGGTTCATTGGTCCGAAAAGTGGTAACATTTTCATCCATTTTTTAATCAAGGGTTCATTGGTCCGAAGGTTCTATAGTGAACCTTCGGACCAATGAACCTTCGGACTATTGAACCTTCGGACTATCGCTACGGCCCCCGGCTGTCACCTTGATCGGATAGTGAACGATTGCCGTAAAATTGCTATATGATTTTAAAACCGGGTGCATAAATTTGAAAAACACCTAGAACAACCTTAGACTGCCACATTAATCTAATACAATACAAAAAAAGACTATCAAAAGTGGTTAAAGCATTCAAACTGAATGTCGTAAAGTCCCCATATACCTCCCATAGACAATAAAATAGAATAGGCGTGCCAGACATCTAAGCCACTTAAGCTGAATGCAATTTAATGAAAAACCTCTTGGAGAGGGGTGCTGAAGTTAGTTTCTGGTTGCCAGGTTCTTTTTTGAAAAACAAAACTGGAAACTATAGAGACATTATAACTTCAGGGCTCCCCTCCTCGGTATATATAGGAACTGAAATTTAATAAATTACTTCGGTATCTACATGTACTGGTATATTATTTTACGTAGTATCTGATCATAGCAAACTATTAACACGTTTCTAAAGATAAAAAGATAATAATAATAATAATAAACTCAAGGTCTTACCTGAATTCCAAAGCATTAAAAACAGTTTATTAAAGATGGGACAGTTTTTTTAGTGTGTGTGTGTGCATGCACGCGTGGACACGCGTGTATGCATGTGTGTGTGTGTGTGTGTGTGTGTGTGTTGGGTTCCCTCTTTGGAAATTTAAATTAAAATCCCCTTAATGTTTACAGGTACAGTATGAAATTATTATTACACGGAGTCCTTGTTCGTAGATATATCTGTATCCTGTACATGCATGCATCAGTTGCATCAAATTCACTTAGCAAAATCCAATTTTTTCATTTGCATGAAAAAGTGCAATTCCTAAGCATGGTTCCCAATCTTCAAGGAATGTGACAAGTCTAAGAAATACTTGCAAAGGTGTCTATACCAAGAAAAGTACTTGGACCTGGCGTTTTATTATACATAAACTAAGTAGCCTGAGAAGACACGTGGCCTGAATGTGACATGTCTCTGTGCTGCAGCTAGCACATAGCACTAGAGTGGTTCTCCACTCGGAACTACTCGGATGTCTCCGCACTCGACATTGTATGGAGCTTGCGGAATGAGCCGAGGATTGCCGATTGGTGGTTCTCATATCGAGACACGACGTTTTGTTTTCGTGCTCCGTAGGGGGGCTGTTGAGGAGAATTCTGGAATATACTGTATAGTTGATCCCCGACACTGTTCTAGGGGGTTCCTTGCTGAGGGAAGATTTGATTTGCAAGTTGCGATCGTTCACAGAGGTTAAGTTGTGAACTTTGGGAGACTTCAAGTAATTCCAGAGGGTAAGTCTGTAGTGATTGCTGGCTCTAATCTACTTTCACTTTGCGGAATAATTTTTTTGTCAGTCACACTAGCACACAATGTGCTGGTTTTACTCTGCAAATGACAATTAAAATTGGACAGTTTTAATTTAGGACCCCATTCTTTAAGCAGAGTGGCAGATTCAACCCTAACAGTGTCCTATATACTGACGATTTTTTTATGTGCGCTGGTACACTGTACATGTACAGTACTGTACTGTACCCGGTAGGTACGTACAGTACATGTACTTTAATTTACTCTCTACCAGGACCAGTGGCGGATTAAGAGGGAGGGGCCAGGGGGGTCCTGACTGCCCCCACCCCCTTCATTCTATGAAAATAAAATCACACTAATTTCCCCTCTTCTCTTGGAATTAGAATTTTGACTACGATAGTAGCTGATTTATAGCAAAATGACTTTGTTTGCACTCTAAAATACCAAAATTGTTCGGGCTCCTTCAGCGGGCACCAAACCCCACCCCACCGGGAAGGGGTTGGGGCAGGGAGGGGAGGCTTTGCATCAGCGGATGCCCCCCTTCAAATATTCCTCTATCTGCCCCTGCAGGGCCACAGATTGTTTTTTCAGGGCCGGGGTAGCAAAATAGTCCGAAAGTTCATTGGTACGAATGTTCACTATAGAACCTTCGGACCAATGAACCCTTGATTAAAAACTGATGAAAATGCTACCATTTTTCGGACCAATGAACTATCGAACCAATGAACCTTCAGACTTATGAGAAGCCCGGATTTTCACTATAGTATAAATCTCTGGTTAAATTGATGTCTAATCACTCTTCTGCGACCCTGTGTTGAAATCTCAAGGATATTTTATGGCTGGTAAATGTTTGTGTAATTACTTAACAAAGACCGAGCTCCTGACTGTTTTTATTCATACTTATAATTAAAGAATTGCTTTATTATTTTTTTTTCACCTGCAGTTATTGAGCCATGGCTACCAGTTCGCCTCAAAGAGACCGCTATCATTTTACTGTGTTGTATGATGGCTGTTTCTCAGGGGAAGAAGACACCAACTCCGTCAAATTATCCTACAAGTTTGTAAAAGATCTTCAAGAAGAAGGTGAAAGACGTGGCATTCATTGCCATCTTCCACACTCGAGAATAAAACCTGGAGAAATCGAAGCTAGTGAAATTTATTCTGCTGTAGAAAATTCTAACCATGTCATCATGGTTATGACTGATGAGTATTTACGAAAAGTACGTGAAAATAAGAAAAAACATCTGGATGAAAGCGAAAAAGATCCAAATTCCATGTTGCTGCACATCCATTATAACATATTAAACTACAAAATTAAAAATAACACTGATGGCATATTTATAATCCCCATATACCTGCAAACACAGAAGGAAGAAATTTCCCTGGGCAGTTATAAATGCATACGGCTAAGCAACAAAGATGCTTGGGAAGACAATTGGGAGAAAATCTGGAATATTATTCCTGAAGGTACTGTAAAAGTGTGCAATATGTTGTTTTTTTTTTTCACAAGTGTTAGTGTTTACTAAATCACATTTAAAGTTTTATATATATATATATATATATATATATATATATATATATATATATATATATATATATATATATATATATATATATATATATATATAAGATAAAGAGACAGTTGGGTAGTATAACTTGCATGTACATGTTGAATACTTTCAGGCCCGTAGCCAGCAATTTCAAAAGGGGGGTTCTTTTTCTGAAAAAGTGGACCTTTTCCCATAAAACCTTCATGTACCTAGAACAAATTTTACCCAGAGGGGACCTTTTCCCAGCAAAAGGGGGGCGGTTCTTTCGAACCCCCCAAACCCCCTCTGGCTACGGGCCTGACTTTAGTATAATTTCATATATTGCCAGATATACAGCCATCAGTGTTGATTGGATCAGCAGTATCTTCTCCAGGGTCCAGTGTGCCAGATGCTGGGGAATCGGGTAATAGAAAAATACATCATCCTACATGCATGCTGTCATTTATTGTAAAATTATAGTTTTCACACGATTTTTACACCTATTTTGGTAAGTGAAATGTTGCTAGAACACATAACATAACATGCCTGAGAAATGATGAGCAATTTTTTTTTTACTTTATCGATTTGTTTTACTTTGTTCTCTTGAACAATTTGGCAGGAAAGAGCTCTTTCATGTGTAATAATAATAAGAAGAAGAAATAATAATGATATTTATTCTTGCAACTAAAAGTTAGATTTTATGTGCACTATCAAAGAGTAATAAAAGTAATTAAAACTCATGTATTAAAAACATAACAGAAGAATCCACAGATTAAAATATTATATCAGATGGTCCAGCAGATAGTGGAACAGTGCTGGAGTACATGAGTGTCTCAGAGATGGAAGGATACTGTAGCAACAATTCTTTGGGGAAGAGCAGATTTGGAGAAGTTTTTAAAGGTAATTACTAGCTAGTACAGTACAATGAAGTTGCAACATTCTTTGTATGTACAGACACAGATGTGTCTGTACATATTGCCATCACCTGCGTCTGTCGTCGCCGTCGCCGATGCCGATGCCGGCGCCGTGCACTTTCCTTGTAAACACGATAAGTGGAGGGCAGTTTTACTTTTTGGCTTAATATTTACAGAGCTGATGAATGTTCATAAAACGCAGGTCAAGTTCGAAAACCAGCATGATCGGGCCATTATTGTAGAAGTTATGCTGCTTTTTCACTTTTCAGCATATATGCAACCCTGTAAACACATTTTAAGGAAAACCGTTAGGCCTGTTGTCATGAAACTCACAGGAGTAATCAATCTTACTAAAACGCAGGTCAAGTTCGAAAATCGGCATGATCGGGCCACTATTTTAGTAGTTATGCTGTTTTTTCATTTTTCAGCATACATACAACACTGTAAACAATATAAGTAAAACAGATAGGCCAATTGTCATTTAACTCACAGGAGTGGTCAATCTTACTAAAACGCAGGTTGAGTTTGAAAATCAGCGTAATCGGGCCATTATTTTAGAAGTTATGCTGTTTTTTCAAATTTCCTCAGATTCAACTGTTAGGCATGTTAACAGTCTCATTAATGAACTAATAAGATACGTAAAAGTGTTTGTTTGACATTTCCTGCATCTTTACAACATTGTTAGTTGATTATGTAAAAATGATGGTAAACTTGTTATCGTGTATTGTGTAATAAAGTTTCCAAAATGGAAATAAACTCATATCATTGCAGTTTGTCAGATTCAATCATTCACTATGTTCAGAATCTCAGAATGGAGGAAATTGGACATTTAACACTGTTCTATTGATACTTTTCCCATCTCATCAATTTTCTTAGTTGGTCATATAAAAATGGCAGTAAAATGTTTATTTTGTTTTATGTTAAAAAAGTGTTAAAAATGGAAATAAACCCATTTCAGAACAGTGCTGTCTTGTTTACATTTTGGCATTTTCAAGATGTGACTTTGAAGTTCCATGGGCCTGAAGACCTTTGCTAGTCACATTTTCTGAATATCCATGATACTAATATTTTATTATTAAAAATTGATGGTCATTATGCTGTTAAACATTATGTAATATTGCATCAAAATTTGAAGAAACCCCTATTTTGGGCACTGCTCCCATGATGACCATTTAAGGAAAATCATGTCACTTACTGTTCTCAAACTTACAGGAAAGAAACATGGGACTAAAATACAGCTTCAGTAGGCAATGCAGTCTGTTTGGTAATTTTTTCTGGCAGTTAAACAGTTTTTTGTGAAAATTTAATTTTTCACATATTGGCATTTTCAAGGTGTGACTTTAAAGTTCCATGATCCTGAAGACCTTTGCTTGTCACATTTTCTGAATGTCCATGTTACTAATATTCTATTATTAAAAATTGATGGTCATTATGCTGTTAAACATTATGTAATATTGCATCAAAATTTAAAAAAAAAAACTATTTTGGGCACTGCTCCCATGATGACCATTTAAGAAAAACCATGTCACTTACTGTTCTCAAACTTACAGGAAAGAAACATGGGACTAAAATACAGTAGGCAATGCAGTCTGTTTGGTAATTCTTACTGCCAGTTAAACAGTTTTTTGTGAAAATTAAATTTTTCACATATTGGCATTTTCAAGGTGTGACTTTGAAGTTCCACAGGCTTGAAGACCCATGCTAGTCACATTTTCCGAAAATCCATGATACGTTTATTTTATTCTTAAAAATTGATGGTCATTATGCTGCTAACCATTATGTAATATTGCATCAGAATAGAAGAAAACACAATTTTGGGTGCTGCTGCCATGATGACCATTATGGGAAAACCATGTAACTTATGATTGCCAAACTTTCAAAAAAGAAATACAGGACTAAAATGCAGCATTAGTTGGAAAAGCAGCCTAATTGGCTTCTTTTTCTGGAAGTTATACATTTTCAAAGTGTGAACTTGAACTCCCATGGGCCTGAAGCCTTATGCTTGTTACACATTTTACTTACATTGGTATTACCTGTTGAGCATAATTAAAATTTGATGTTGAATTTGCAGTTTAACATAATGTACTTTTGCATCAGAATTGACAGTGGCCTATTTTGTGCATAGTTATTTCCTGTTTGTATATTTGACAGCTTTGCTGCCTTGTTACATTCAAAGTGAGTCCCTGTTTTTTTTCTAAAAAGTTTGGTTTTTTGTTAAAATCTCTTAAGAGATTTTAACAGAGTACAGCCATCAATGGAAGTCACGTGATTTGAAGACAAGCTCAGAATAATCCAGATATCAGATTAATAGCTATAACTGCCGTTTTTGTGGTAAAACAGAATATAGTATATTTCTATGAGTTGTTCACAATGCTTTATTGTGAAATATAGATATCATACGAAGAGTTATTATCCCTTTAAATCTCTGCTTCTCAACTAACACAATCATTTGCTCATGTCGATGGTCTCACTCAAACTGTTTCAATTTTTTTTTTTTGTAGGGAGGGAGGGGGTTACTTCAAAGAGCTTATTGGTTTATAACTTCCCCTCATTGTCTGTACCATCTGTTCATAAATGTAACATTGATGTGCGCTGAATTGCTTTAAGTATGAGGTAAAGTAAAGGTCAAAATGAAAACAAAACAATAGGCCTACATAAGATAATTTATGTGAACATGTATAGTATTTTTATGATTTTCTTTTTCATTTTAACTGAACAGAATGATTTAACATAGTAAAGCATGAAAAACTTCATTTCCCTTTTTTTCTAAATAAACATTACGACCGTGGTACAAATATTTCTTTTGAAGGGAAAACTCGGATGTGTCTGTGTTTCTTTCAGTGCAAGTGTAGCATGTCACATATAAATTGTTACCAATGTTATAGTGAAAATAACGACAACGATCTGGAACTTTCGATCGTTTATTCACCGACTCTTTTTTTCATACAACTTCATAAAAAAATTTATACTCTCTTTCTCCGTACTGATCATGCATTGACTTGTTTTCTTTCCATTGTCTTTGCATGATTACAAGGAATTTTCCATTCGCATGTTGCAAGTCACCATGCAACATTTCCTAAGAAACTTGTTTTCAATTAAAGATATCTAAAATATTATTTGCAATACTCATGCTTGGACCTTATCCGAAACTCCGTTATCATGTGATAAACAGTTGATCAAAATTTAAATATGTTATGAAATTAACCAATGACATGAACTGTTACTGACTTTGACCTTTTCCATCTTTTTCTGACACTAAAACATGTTCTACACTTGTTGACTCATGATGAAACTTAACTTACACTCAATAACTCCCTATCCTTTTACTCGTTTGATTCCGTTTTAATTGTTATCTGCAATTAGTGAAAGTGTAAGTCAACATCATTTTACAACTGCATATGCAGTTGAAATACTCGCAGGTGCACGCGATACGTTTTTCTTTCAAATGTTTGGCCTTATATGAAATGGATTTTTGAAATTCTGGACATCTTATACTTTGCTCTCCTGTGTTGACTCACTGATGATATATGGTCCTGGGCTCCGTATCTCGAAAGGTTCGCTATGTTGCGCACGTGCGATTCTATTTCGAGATACGGAGCCCTGTCGAACAACTAATTGAACGCAATGATGCATCAGGACATAATTGGCCTATATCCCGGGGATTTATCTCCGACAAAATATACAAACTACTGGTCTCGAAAAGTCCTGGGGGCTATGTATACAGGGATTATAAGAGCTTATCTTAGGAAACGATGGATCGGACCAGTTCTTCCTGACATCTAAATATTTTATTTGTCCTGTGTGTGGAAACAGCACTGACATGAATGAGGAAGAGGAAGGAGGATTTACTGTACACCCAAACCCAATATAAAGGTGCAAATGATGTCACAGGCATGTTTCTAATATAAGATATTAAGTGCATGTTTGATTATTTTAGGGTCCCACAAACATGAAGAAATTCTTATCACAGTTTCACTGTCCTGGAACCATGGGGAATTTTACTTTGTTTGCCATTAAAGAAAAAAAGCAATAAATGAACTATTTTTATTAGTGGCGCAAACTTTTTGTCACAAATGTCAACTACACGTGAAAACACTATATATGTTTCAGTCGATAACAGAAAACCCTGTTACTTTTGCACCAAGTGCTTCGACAAAATAATCTTTTTTTTCGGACATATTACTGGGAAACCTAACCTACGTTTTAGCCATGACACAAAGCCCACTGAGTTACAGTATTAATATTTATAAAAACCTTCTTACGTCAGCTATGATTTACAATGACTGAATCACTACAACACATTTATTACATATTACAAAAAAAAATTAAAATGAATATCAACCGGACAATACGTTACCGGAATATACGCCACAATTTAGGCTACTTATATATTGGTATGAACATGGTAAAAATCAAATTTAGATGTAAAATTGAGACAGACGTGGATTTTTGTTCAATACATATAAATCGATAAAAAAATTAATACTTGTTCGATTTTATTCAATTTTATTTCTTGATACTTCAGCATGTCAAATGCACCTCTATGTTGGGTTTGGGTATGTAACCCTATATAACCTCGCACCCTGTTAATACACTGGCTGTATTGGAGTGGTTATATCTCCGGTTTTTTCCTGTGGTTTATAGAATATATTGTTGTAGCAATAAGTGCATAACACAGTTAATGAACTGTTTTGCTGGTTCATTAGATCATTGTGCAATGGAATAATGCTTACACCATGATAAAGATATCTTATCAAAACGATAAATATACCCTTTGCAGCTCAGCAAACGAGCCATTTAACAACTGTAGCCTGTTCTTTTTCTGCGTAATCAATGTTGGACCTTGCTCTATGATTGATGTTACCGATTTTATTAGTATCCGCCCCTTATTATTGTTCCTACCGTGCAATTTTGAGTCTACTTCAAGTACAAGTAGGGACAACTATCAAGTGCTCTTAAATAGGGAGACATAAAAGGAACAACAAACATTAATCCATAATTTTACATCCACATACAAGGATGCACATTTTATTCAAAGCGAGAACGTTCCGCATGAAACCGGTTATCACTGCTGTTACCGTTAAACTGCGTAGAAAAAGCATTAGCTGTTGCACTACTTTTTCATCCAAATACAATATTTCACATGATGAAGTATCAAAAATTAAATTGAATGGATTCGAACTGGTATTAATTTTTTTAAAAACAAATATTTGTATAGAACAAATATCCACTGCTGTCTCATTTTTACCATGTCTATACCATTATGTATGAAGCCTAAATGGTAACGTATGTTCCGGTAACGTATTTTCCGGTTCATATATTCATATATGCATATTATTTATTTTTTGTATTATGTTACAAATATGTTGTAGTGATTACTCATGGTAAATTGCAGCTGACGCTATAAATATTTAAACTGTAAATCAAGGGACTTTGCGCCATGATCAAAACGTAGGTCTC